GTTATATTATTACAAATGGAAATAAATGATAAACTTCATTTAATAGCTTTTCATTCTAAAGCATTTTTAGTAGTAAATATTAACTATAAGATCTACAACAAAGAATTTTTTGCAATTATAGATTTGTTTCAAGAATGGTACCATTATCTAAAAAGTGCTTCTAATTTAATAACTATATATATGGATCACAAAAACCTTAAATATTTTATATCAACATGTATTTTGAATTATTTTCAAGCCTACTAGAGCATGTCTTTATTAAGATTCAAATTTAAGATCACTTATTGACTAACAAAATAATAAGGTTTTTCAAACATACTCTTTAAATAATCTTACTTTGTATAATCAAACATACTCTTTAAATAATCAAACAAAAGAAATATTTCTTTTGATCAATAATTGATAATTCTTTTGAATCCAAAGCATCTTCATCTTCAAGCAATGAAACCAATATTAATTATTAATTCAATTTTTATAAAATAATTTTAATCAAGTATATCTTTTGTAATTCTTATTTGTGATATTAAAAAAAAAAAAAATCTTCAAAGTCTTATGATACTTTCAAGTTTGAATTCAAGAATAATCTATTACATTTCAAGTAATGCTTATATATTCCAAAAGATGAAGATCAATTATATATTCTTCAAGTTTATTACTACTTTCGAGTAGTAGGATATTTTTGGTACAATAAGACTTTGGAGCTAATATCTAAAAAAATTTGGTGGCTCCAAATATGAAAGGTGGTCAAAAATTTTATATAATCCTGTGATATTTGTTTAAGATCAAAAATTCTTTATCATCAATCTTATAAACTTCTTCATCCATTATCCATTCTAAAATAACCACGGTCTTCTATTTCTATGGATTTTATTACAAGTCTTCCAATCTTAGATTTTTATGACTATATTTATGATTGTAGATCATTTCACCAAAATAGCACATTTTTACCATATATAAAATCTATCAGAAGTAAAGAAATAGCTAAGTTTTTCCTTGATAATATCTATTGCTATTATAAATTGACTAAAGATATTATATTAGATAGAAAAATTCAATTTGTATCAAGATTTTAAAGATAGATATAATAATACCTTTGGCTTTTCATCCTCAAATTGATGGACAAACAAAGCATGTAAATTAAGTTTTGGATCAATATTTGAGGTATACCATCAACTATCAACAAAATGATTGAATAATATTTTTGCCATTAGCAAAATTTACTTATAATAATATAAAATATTCTTTTATATAATAAAAAAAATTAATAATTATAATTATCATCTATAAATTGATATTTTTGATATTTTAAAAATTAATAATTCTATAGTAGAAAATTCTAAAAATCATTTATCTAAGCTACATACAATAATGAAGGCACTACTAAATGACGCTAAAGAACAATAATAGAATAACGTAGATGTCTATTGCAAAGAATGATTTCATTTTTAGGTTGATAATAAGATATAATTATTTTATTATAATATTAAAATTATTTACCTTTGTAACAAATTGGATTATAATAAATTTGAATCATTTTTTATTTGTGAATAAGTCAATCTAATTGCTTATCAATTACATCTACTAAAGTCTATAAAAATCCATTCCATATTTCAAGTCTCTCTTTTGAAGCCATATAAGACAATAAATATTTTGGAAAGAAGACAAATATGACCATCTCTTTTAGAAGTGGATAATAATCAAAAATTTTAGGTAGAAAAAGTCTTAGCCTTGAGATAGCATCGACTTAAATTGAAACATCTTATTTATTTGTATAGATATAATATTAATAAATACACATAAAAGCCAGTAAAAATTCTTATACATGTACTAAAAAAAATCAAAGCTTTTAATCAATGACATTCATTAAAATCAAGATGAAAAATAACAAACCTTTGCTATAAAAGAAACATAATTTAAGAAAGATTGCATTCTACCTTCTATATTTTTTTGTAGTTTTTGTATAATTGTGGCATTAAGAAAATTAAGAACCAACAGCCAATAAATTTGACTCAAGAGCCATAATTTTTTGACTTATTGGACAAGGCATTATAATTATCATAGCCTTCAAGATGACATAATAGAGATGAAGACCTTCAAGAATGACATGTTCTTCTTTAAATAGATGGTGAAATATAACGTGTTTGATATCGCAACTTGAGAAGAGAATCTTGATATTTGGTGATTTCATTGAAGGTAGGAACGATTCCAAATAGTGTTACAAATATTATGTTAGAAAGAAGCTACAAAAATATCAACAATGATCAAATAACATGATAGTCTTTTCACTTTGGAATGAGATATTACTAATAGTTGAAAGATCCTATCAACTATCTTTGAAGGAAATAAAGATCAAAGTATGTGGCAAATATAATTTGATGGAATTTAGACTTCCTCAATATAAGATTAATGCTCTTTGTGGAACTTGTTTTTAAAAGGGGAGATAATTTCAAAGACATATATTTATTGTAATTATTATCTAAGTAATATAAATAAATAGAAGTAAAAGTAGATTAATTTTATAATATCTTTTAAAAAAGCTTCTTAAAAACTTTATAGATATTGCTCTGACTTTATATGTATTTGTAGTTGATAGGTAGATTAGAAACTTAGTCAAAAAATTAACTATACGTTAAATGTGTTGATAGCTTGTAGAAAAAGCTAACTATTTGGTGCTTATATAAAAAAACTTGTCTTGCAAGTTAAGATATATATTGTACAAAGTCAATACATTTTAGAGGTTATATAGAACGTCGCCACATAGCTCTTAAGTAGATAGTATATATAGAAGTCAAATTTGAGGAGGATAATCAATATCCTCTAATATCAAATAAAAAATTCTATTCTTTTTGAAAAAAATAATCAATATTAGAAGAAAAAAATACTAGTTTAAAAGTAAATAATTAATAATCTTTAAAATATAATAATAAAATTCAAATAATCCACTCACTTCTAAAAAAACAAGAATAATGAATTAGCACTCTTGTTAAACTATCAAGGATATGAATTGCAAATAATAAAACTATCAATACATTCTCGTGTCTCTAAAAAAGAATAAACATTATTCAAAGATAATATAGTATTAGACCTAGAATGACTATTTCCAAAAACAAGACAATTGGAGACTCTTAAAACAAGATTACGAACAAAAAAGGCATTGACAAGAGTAAGGAAGACTTTACTCTTGTTTCCATATATACTATCTAAGTAAGAGTTATATGGAAAGGTTCTAAAGGACCTTTGACATATATCCAACTTGCAAGACATGTGTTTAACTTATAAAACAAGTTTTTTATATATGCATCATATTGCCAACTTATACTATAAATCATCATGTATAAGACATGATCAACTTATAGGCTAAATTTTTAACCTATCAATCAACTACAAATATGTATAATTCAAATTTGTATCTAAGAAGCTTCTAAGAAGGTTTTTTACAAGATAATATTAAATCTACTTATATTTTATTTTTATATCTAATATTTCTTATTTAGATAAATATATATATTTATAACATCTATATATTATTTATACTAAATTTAAATATATAATCTTATATAAGACTATGAATAATTAATAACTTATATTATTATATTTTAATAAGTTATACTTTTAATAAATAAATTAGAAATATTAAAAAATTAATAAAAAAGAAGTTAAAATTACTTTATAAAATATAAACACCAAAAGAATTTTGACTATGTAATAAAACATCATGCACACAAATAAAAACAAAGTAGATATAAGATATAAAAATAAAATCATTACATATATACATAGCATACATAAATAATACAAAGACACATTCTTCCAAAATCACATTGGTTTAAATCAAAGACTTACCTTAGATTTGCACAAAGAACCAATGCAATTTGGAAAGAAGAATCTTATCTTTGAGATGCATAATATTTGTCCAAGGCCTACTAAGCTTAGTGAGCCAATCCTAAGCAACCTAGAATTAAACTATCCAACAAAAGTAGATCTATTTTAATGAAGTTGATGGAGTTAGTACCCATGTGCCATATTAGATGTCTCTATTAAATAGAAAGTAATATATTATCTATAGCCAATAATTGCCATAATTACATATCATTCCAAATACAATCTACTTTGATTATTGTTCAACATTACAACACCTCAACTTAATAAAATATGATAATTTACTCCACTAGCCTACATGCAATATTTCTTACGATTGTTAAATAGAAGTTTATTTCACATTTTTTGCAACAACAAAAGTTGACAATCATCAATCCAACATTGCTAAGTAAAAATCATTCTCATCACTTAAACTCCTCTGAAACACATCATGAAATCCCTACAAAGGTCCTAATTACTAAACCAACCTCGCCCTGCAATCCTAAACCAAATCCGCTGCACCTTGTGGGTTCAGGGAAAACTCACTTGGTGATGACTTAGTGATGTCATCAGATAGCATGCGCGCCTCCGCATTATTGCGTCTAGACGGCTTGACAACCGAGATGTCTAACCACTGGCAGCTCTACCTCACAGCTGACTGATAAGATGCATCTTTGCAGTAAATGCAATGAAAAGGAGTGGCCAGAGAGCAGAGGCGTGAAGCTAGAGCAACAATAGACAACCTTGCAGTTTGTGAAAGAGCAAAAGAGTTATTGGATCTGGCCTACCACACAACCTGCAGGGGCTGCCTGAAATTGAAGATGTTAGCTAATCGGCTCACTGTTGGCACATTGCATGACTGTGTTTGGATACTCATTTTTTAGAAGTTATCCTCAGTTTTATTGTCTTCATACACTGCTCTGTTTTCTCCATTCGGCAGGTGGGTGATGGAGGGAGCATACTGGGGTACAGGATAGATATTGGGGAGAATACCTACGCAAATATGTTCAAATAGTCAAGTTTATCCCCGAAAGAGAATGGAACTGCTGATTTAACTCTCTTGTAAAAATGCTTTGGGGATTGGATGTACTTATTAAAATATTGGAATACATGCTCCGCTGTCCGGAACCGTATTGACATTCTTGCAATGGAAACAGGTAAGTTCTAAACAGAACTCATGAATTTAAATCAACTGAAAAGCTTGTACAAGAATATAAACCCATTGCTAAGGAAACTGTTCAAGCCGTTTTGCCATGTTCTATGACTCTTCAGTGGCCGTTTGATGGGTGCTGATTCAACAGTAACGGTCAGAGCATAAAACAGCAGAAAGTCAAAATCACGTACCTTGCGGCAACACATGGACCAACTAACGACAGTCATACCAAAGACTACATTGAAGCCTAATCTATGAATTGGTCTAACTGAATCTTGCAATGGGAATTCCTCACAAAAGATCCTGAAGAATCCAGCAGGGTATACAAGTGCGCTAATACGAAGATCCACTAAACTCATCTTTACACTTTGCACAGCTTTCTTTACAATCTGCCGGGTGTTGTGTGGATACCATCCGTTCAAGATGATGCCCATAATCGTCTCCAGATAGATTGGTTTGGTGGAGCCTGAAATGCAGGATCCGTGCCTCGCCACAGTGCAGTAGAGGTCCATTGACCTCCCCTGCTTGTGCTTTTCCTACGGCCAAGCAAACACATCATAAGCTCATATGTGTAAAGATTCGAGTTTTATCATTTTACACGATCCTATGATTTTTCCTCATTGTTGATACTCCATTCACATGCATATCATTTCAAATGTACAGTGATTTGTGACAAGATGAATCCAGGATGATCAGTAGAGTGCTCCATTAAAATCATTTGCATTTTTCACTATGCTCAAAAGCTAGCTCAAAGCAACTCTAGAGCCCCTATGCCTGACCAGCGATTCTATGTACTGTACATGAGTCCTCCATTAATTTAAAAAACAAAAATCTCAAATCAACATTTAGATAAAGAATCCCTCCTGGTTTCACTACGTAGCATCCGGCAGAGTGTCTGCAATTTATTTGCGATACACTAGACCAGGGAAGAGGTTCAAATCCCGATCCTTCGCAACACAACAGCTGTCCATCATCCATAATTCATTAGATTAATGCTTTTGATGTAAAGACCAATTTTATATGACATTCACCTAACCCAGGATTCGAGACAAATTCTAAATAAATATTTAGATACAAGTTAAGTTGCGAAGTTTGTGAATCAAAACTGCGTTGGGATGAGGAATCTCATACTGAAGCTTGGGTGCAGTTGCTTGCAGATGGGCCAGATACTTTTGATAAAAAATCCCAGCTGATGGCTCTTCCACACCGTTGGGGCCTGAGTAGTAGGCCCGCAACACGAATTCATCTGTCCTAGGCCTGAACACAAAGCATTCGGCACCCAGGACCTCAGATATCGTAAGTTAAGTAGGAAATCGTCCATAATCACGTCATGTGTAAGAATAGATTACAATTAGGATGTAGCAACATGACAGTACAAATATACAAGAAAAAATCCCAAGTATCTAATTAGTTAGCACGGGTAACAAAAGAATGCAAAAAACGATCATAGGGTGGATAGGTTGGCACCTTCCATTATAAGTGCTTAGCCAACAAACATATGCTGCGCCAAAATACATTGCCAGGAATGGGTTGGAAAGATCATCTCTAGATCGTAACTTATATGACTTGAAGCCCATATCCCTACACCCCACATGCAAGTAATAGTGAAAATGCAACCGAAACCTTTGTTAGAGGACATAGCACAAGAACCTGATTACAAAAGTTTTAATAAAAAAACGAGATCATATCAGACAAATGTAAAAGTGTAGTACTTGTATAGCCAGGCAGCAGTTGGATACGCAGTTTGCATCACCCCTGAGATTCCATCAGCTCCATACAGCCGTCTTTTGCTACTGACCTCCGCAATTGTCCGCAGCATGATCTGCTCTCAAGAATAAAAAAACGAGAGGACGGGAAGGTCATCATTTTAAGATAAGTAAAGCAGATATCAAACTTTCAAAATATAGGGTCCTAATTGGCTGCCAACGAAATCATGAAAATGAACTTGGAAGGTATCCAAATCAAATGCTACAAATGGCTTTCGTACGCCTACTTACGCAACAACTCCACATTTTTGCAAAACACCTTAAAACCTTGACCAATGTCATTCACATGAGGGTTTTCAGAACAGTTAAATACCGGCGAAACTCGTTCAGCAAAATGTCGGAACACAACTATCTCCGCCACTGCCTGCAGCGTTAAGTTCAACAAAGATGATTATAGTCTGCTGATACAAAAACTCGGAATTGAACAGAGGATGTTTTATTTGAACAGACTCCAGGAATCAAAGGCCATGACGAGAAAACATGTGCAACTTCAGTTTCAAATCAGTCCCACCACATATTAACAGAAATTCCATACAGTCAAAGCTATGAGTTGAGAGAAGCTCAAATTAGTGGCGGAATTATTTAGAAAGGATGGCATATGAAATAAGCCTGTTAGATCACTGTGCGCACTCCGCAGTATGTATCTATATATTGTTCGAGCTTCAAGCAATATTAAAGTTTCACAACTAGGTCCATAGCAATACATTCCACACGAAACAGATCAACAGGACAACAATAGATAATCACATGGCCAACCTAGACACATCCACATACCTTCACTTCAGTAGTGGTCAAGTAAGGCCTAAGCTCTGCATCACGAGCAAATCTCACTTGACCTATTTTCTCATTTGAGTCTGTCCACTCCTTTTTAACTTGTGGGTGCCTCCACATTTCTTCCAAATCCTCAGGAGATGTTTTCTCATCCCAGTAAGTCCACTCTTTTTCTGAGAAAAACAATACTCCAAAGTTAATGATGAATCATCGCTACTTCAGAGGAGCAACTTAAGATCTGCAAATGCATCTAAAACTTCGCATGTCCAAAAATCAAGGAGCCGAAGCACAGCATATATTAATTCACTCGTACAGATTGTAAACTAAGAGTCAAGATAGGACCTATACTGCTAATAAATCCTCAAAATGTTGGCATGCTATGACATTGTGCGCATGCATACAATGACTAGTTTCTGATCTCTATCGGATCCCGCAGAAGAGACATTCAAAATTAGAATGCTGCTAAGTACGACAGTTCGAAAATATACTGACACGCATAACATACTATGGAAGTCATTGTCTTGTTTTGATATTGCAGAACTTGCCAAACATGAATAATGCTTCATTAGCACAAATACCACGCAGAAAGTAGTCATAGAAATCAGAACATACTGTGAACATTCGCCGACGAGCTGGGCTTCGCTTTTGAGTTTTTCGGATGGACAGCAACCTCTTTGATCTTGCCAAGTTTTGGATTCAAGCAACTCGGTTCCACAACAGTGTCTTTGACGCTGCTTGTGGTAGATTTTCTGCTATTCAATTCTGCGGCAGCAGTCTTAAAACTGCTGGGTGTTGGCTGTGTATCATTGGGTATTCTGGCAACGCCCTTAACAGTGTTAGTTCTAGTACCCTGGTGCTTGTTAACTTGAGTAGCCACTGACGGAGGCGGCGGAGGTGGAGCAACGACTGGACTAGGAGGTCGAAGGGGAACAGCGGGCGTTACGAAAATGAGTGGAGTCTCACTGTGGGAATACGCATGTGACACGGAAACGTCGTGAGATCGGTTGATGAATGCAAATTTTGAACAATATGCTCTTCTTAATACATCCCGTAAACAATAAAATCATTCATCCTTGATGCAACTGACTAAAAGAGATCAATTATTGAAGTGATACGCATAAAAGCCCAGAGTAAGGAAAAATAAATAAATAAGATTATCAACCTCGTATTGGGAAGGCTTTGCTTTGCCTGCAAATATTTATTCCAGTAAGCTACTGTAGAAGTTTTGGTTGCGCCTTGAGGGCCCCCATTATACCCACGAACCATGAATTCCTCGTTTCGCTTCCTACATCATCAATCACGACAATCAGTAAAGTTTCAGATGCAACACTGAGCAAACACAACAAGATTAAATCGATCGCTCCGCAACTTATTGTTTTAAGAACTTTATAACGACCCTCACTTAGGTACTCTGATCGGGAAAAATATACGCAGCTTGTTAAAAAGGTATTGTAACAAATACATCATCGTCCTCACGACCACATCACCACAAGATGATGTCGTTGAAATGTGTGCGGTTTGCATTTGAAACAAGACACTTCTCCAACGAAACATGGTATATACAAACATGATCTCCAAACTCCACCACATTAGGTACTTGATAGCCAGTTGCAGATGTATTACAATTTTAACCTTTCGTGCCAAAGTATGTTGGCCAAACTCTTAAACTTGGTCATGGAAAATGGAACTTACTTGCCGTCATAAGTTGATAGCCATTTCAAGTACGCACATCCAAAGTACACACTCACAAAAGGTCGGTAAAGTAATGCTGAAGCCCCCTCAATTACGTAAGCGCGATAACCCATATCTCTGTTTTCATCAGTGACGAACTTTAGGAGGACAATAATCGCAATTATTAACTGCAAACATAATTTCCAAAACGGAACGCTTACGAGGGAGAAAAGGATTACGTGGCAAGCCATTCTGCTGTGGATTGGAGCGTCTGCATAAGCCCAGTGCTGGCTTCGCCAAGCTTGGGCTCAAAGCGGTAAGCAAGAGGTAGTCGTGAGCTCTCCACCTCAGCAATTGCACAAACCATTGCCTGGACTCCCAAAAATACATGTAAGTATATCATTCCCATGCTGTTAAGCACACACTTTGATGTACAAGTCAAAAATTGGTAAGGTTTCAGAGTCCTCTCACATTCAACTTTGAAATCATTTAAAGAGAACATCTGGGCTTTACACTTACCACATCCAATCGCTTGAAATGTCGACGAGTAATAATCTCTGCCATGCCCTGAAATGTCATGATCAGAATAGGATAGGGCGTTGTTAGATTATCTTACGAGCAGAATCACAAGTACACCTCTTTGACTTTGAACGTCATTCTACCTAAACAAATAGCTCATGCAGGTTAAACGGAAGACGCCTTCAAATCTCAAGTACCTTTGTAACTCTTGGAACCACGTCTGGGGGAAAAAAATTAAATGAATAAATAAATAAATAAAAATTAAAAGAAGAAGAAGAAGATCATTGCAATTCACATCCACTAAAAAGCACAATAATAATCAAATTGGGATTAAAGAAGCCTGTCATGAGTTGTTGACCTTCATCTCTGTATGAGTAACATAAGGTTTCCCATCGAAGTTTCTTGAAAAGTGGACCTTCATCCCTCGCTCTTCACCTACTTTGAGCCACTCCTGACACACTTCAGGATGATTCCACATAGCCTCCATGTCCTCCACGTCCGCCCAATCATCCCAATACTTCATCGTCGGCGCCATTGTCAAGAACCAAAGCCAGAGTTGTTGACAGGCCCTTGTTACTCACGACATCAAGAGAGAATGATCAGTGCATCAAATTGAGCACACCCTTCAGGAAACATCAATCGAAGATTGCCAGTGCCGATGCAATGAGCTCCTATGCCGGTTCTGAAAGTTTGGACGAGACGTTCTAAAATGTTGCGAGTCTCACACCTCTGATGTGTTTTTTGAGGCTGCATTTCACCCACAGAACCCACCCCAAAAGTCATGATTGTTGCGTTCGTGTCATGTTAGGGAAACAATCTGAAGCTCATGGTGGAACTTGCTTTCAACTGATCAGCAACTAACATCATACCTTACCGTTTCTTGGTTAGCCTCGGGGATTTATCACCTCATAAAAGTGTCATCAGCATTTAATTTCCTAGGATTTGAGCTGTGATCTGAAACCCTACTCAAAACGAAGGCAAATTCGTTATGACAATACTGAACTTGACGATTCAGTAGGGCAGTGCGTCAATACATTGCGAAAGACATGTTTTCCCTAGGGCGGACAGTAATTAAAATAAGTTAAGAAAACAAAGATGTCTGTCATTTGAGCATTGCAGCCTCTTACACCACTCCTGACTAGCAAAGCAATTCACTGATTCAATGTGTCTGCAAAAGACATGAAATGTACTTTTACATGTTCAAATTCACATACATCTGCAGAATGACAGCCTTTCAAGAAACGAAGACAAAAACCAACACTCGTAAATTACACCCATTACTCAAGTACGTCATCGGACCGCTAGACGACTTGCTCCTTCTACCAAGTACTTTGAATTGTGAGAGCAGTGAAGTATTTATAATTGCACTATTACTAAATAAAAACGAAGCTCTTCCCTAGAGTCTGTCTGGTGATGTTGATAGATTGGAGCTACGGGCTTCACTAAATTTCTCAAAGATGAATTGGTCCAAAGGAACTGAAATAAAGAAGAGGAAGAAACCATCGAAACCATTTCGTAGGACTAGCTGTAGAACATTTAATCGACGTAACAGTGGTTCCAAGACTAGAAGATAGTAATCCAAATCATAATCAAAACTCCCTTCTAGGCGCGATCAGCTCTAGCGATGAATTCCACGAATTTGGGGCACGAGAACATAATCATAGAACAACTCTCAACACAAATGCATATTCATCGATAGTAAAGGAACAGCCCACAGTCTAAAAGCGTTGGTGCAACCACGTTGACTTACAAGACAAACCAGATCCGTTCAAGTAGAAAGGAAGTAGCGTCAAACTCCAACGACCCACCCGGCATACAACCTAGTTGAAAACGTAGAAGAGGGTGAAAAGAGAGTACCTCGACAAAAATTCACGAGCCACAGCGTGTCATATCTCCACCCAACCACCTCTCTGCCCAATATCCGCAGGTACCCTCTTAGAAGCGACCGCGAAATCAACACTGAGCTACGCAGTGAAACGAACTGGCCCACTCACCCAGAACATACAATAACCTCTCCAACCTCGTCCCAGTCACAATCCTCAACAACCAAAACAGATAGACAAATCTCCACTTATCTCACTAAGCTCTCTTCCAGATAAAAGACTAGAAAATTCACCTTCAAAAGCACGGACCCTCCCACAAACCCACAAGCCTCCACACCTCCAAGTCAAAAGTACAGCGCCCAAAGGCTCACAGGCGCAAGGACGATAGCCCCAAAACGACAGAATCCCCGAGAAAGCTACAGAGAATTCTACACATCTTCACACACTCATAACTCCACTGCGATCCAAAACGCTTCCAGCTTCCGCTACCAACAACGATCCCCTAGAAACCACGCAACCATGGGGTGGGGGGCCATCATGGGTTATGTCGCAAGCTAAACTAAGCAATGCCCTGGCTACGCTTTCACAAGTGCCCCGTGGAAGAAATTATTTGCACTGTACAGCCTTCCTTCCCCAAACAAATGTGGCCTCGAAAACTGCGTCACCCACTCATCAAGCTGCGGGGTAGTCACCGTCCCGGACGTCGCACATCATCATGCACCCACTGCCGGCACTGATCGTCTCTCACTTGCTTGTGACGTAATGAGCTTGCAAACAGGACCGTGACCTGCTTCCGCTTCACTTCCCAAACGGTCCAAATCTGGCAGACCTACACTGTGGAATGGATGTGGGGGGGGGGGGCAGGCATTCAATGAATGCTTGCCCCGCGCGATGCTTGCGCTGTTTGCGTAATAACCCTCTGCCTCCGTTCGCCGACATGCCGCCCACGCTCTCAATCCTTCTGCCCCGCCTTCTTCTTCCTCCCTCCCGGTGACAACTCTTGCCCTTGCTCTAGATTCCGCATTTTGTTGTGTAAAGGTTGTTTTCGGACCTCCAAACTTTTGCATGCTTGGAGTATCTTTGTTTTGAAAATTACTCAGTGACATATAATTTTCCTCACAGTTACAGTTATTTTGATTATGAATTCTTCATTCTTAATTAGATCATATCCATAGTATCTCTCAAATTATGTCACTAATTAGGAATAAATAAATTTATGTACATATTGCCACTATTTGTGTCAAAATATATTCAAACTCAAAACATTCAAATTTATATTCTTTGGATTTCTTTGATTCTTATATTTAACTATTTTCATAAATAAAATAAAATTTACTGATTTTTGAATTTTTACAAAATGAAGTTGTATATACAATACTAGAAAAATAGACATGAAAGAAAATATTACATAGTATATAGCAAATAGAGCACAAGATAGTTAACAGAGTTGGTTCAAATATATTGGTAAAAAATATTAACAAGAGTACGTCCAATAAGGATTTGTTTCTTCTTCAAAATTGATATCACACTTTCATCTTATCAAGGTGACATTAATAACATGCTACATGTGTTTTTAAATGTCTATATCTAGACACTAATACACATACAAGTTCATCACATTATTTTATGATGTACTTATATATTGTATTACAAAACACATGAATTATACATATATTTTTGAAAATTGATATATAATTGATTTGACATTTCTTACAAAAACAAAGATCGTCATGTAAAAACTTTATATCTAAACAAAACAATAGCAATGGTGGAACAAAATGCCCTTTTTTTGGATTCAAACCAAGATTACAAACCACAACTTTTAACATTTGATGCTAGTGCTTTTCAATTAAGAGTTAAAGCCATTTCAAAATGGGATAATTTTTCATCCATTAAAATATTAAATGGTTATGTTTGACCTACAAACATTTGTTTACTTAATATGTGATTTTTTTATCTAATAGCATAAATTAATCACACAACAAAAATATTTAAAGTATCCAAAAAGAGATAATATTAGAATTGTTTATGAATGTTTCCTATTATCTTCTTGTGATGATTCATAAAATCCACAAGTTCTCATGTCTTGAATTTGTTAATAGAGTGTGTAACTCCTATCAGACATAAAGTAAAATAGGTGGTTGACATTGCCTCACTAGTTGACAAGTTGTAGCTGCCATTTCTTGGTAGTAATACAATTTGGTCGTCGTAGCCTACCAAGCCATCATATGGCCTAATAAGAGAAGTATTCACATGTTCATTGGACATTATTAACTAGACTAATTGTTTGTGTGTACATACTAGAAAGTTCATATAATTAGACCATGGACTTGTGCTATATAAGAAGTAGAAGTAGAGATTCATTTTAAGCATTTGTTCTCTTGAATCCTTCATAGTAAGGTAGAGGATTCCTTTGTATTTGCTTCATAAAACTTTCATCTTAGCAATACACTTCTTTTTTATTTTCTCACATGGTATCAAAGCCTTAGTACTCTAAATTTATCCTTTGATGGATTTGAATGAATCTCTTGAGGTTGTTTTGCAAGACTTCATCTTTCGATCATCTTTAAGTAGGTTTTATTTTTTGTATTAACTTGAGAAGAGTTGAACCTCTAGTGAGTCTAGAATTCAAGCCACTAATGTTTTTGGTAGCTCATAATTGAAGCAACGTGGCATTAATTTTGAAGGAAAAAAAACATTTTCAAATTTTAGTGCTACAAGCAATAGGTGCTGGAGCTTATAGCTGTTGATCTAATCAGACCAATAATGGGATCCACTTGCAATGGTAGGACTCAACAATAAAAGCGAGATTTGGTAGCAACAATGAGACCCGCCAATGGCAGGGCCAATATAATCCAAGAAATTCCAACAAGATCAAAAAGCTCTAAATTTGATTTTTTTTTTCAAGTTTTTGGACATAGTTTCACGTAAGAAGGTCGAAAAATCAAAAATTTTGAGAATTTTGAGTTGAATTTTTTAAAAAATGCTAGTAATAAAATTTTACACATTCTCAAAAAAAATTTGGAAATTTTTGAAAATTCTTTAAGATTTTTTATTAATACTCAAAAAAATCTATAAATTAATATAAAATCTTACGAATATCTCATTTCTTTTCACCTTCTATTTCTTCCTCTATTTCTTTGATTTCATCTATTTAGGATATATTTTTTATAAGATGGCAATAAAGTACTATACTATAGAGAAATTTGATGGATATAATTCACACTTATAGAAGAAACAAATCCAGTTTGTCCTCATTGACAAGAATTCAAAGAAGGTTGTTTGTAGAAAATATGAGAAATGTATTGGATCAAGCATAGATTCAAAAGAGTTAGAAAAATAGGAAGATATAGACTAAAGGGCATTATCTGCAATTTGCCTATATCTTACACGTATAGAATTTTTGATCACAAGTAAGGCAAAAAGTGCATAAGCAGCATGACAAGGTCTAGAAGCAACATAAGAGGTAAAAAATACTTTGAACCTATAATACTTGATTTACAAGTTTTGGACTATACAAATAACTGAATAAAACAAGACCAGACTATCTTAAAAATCCAAGATCGGTCTATTTCACAGCAACATAAAATCTCATCCTAATATATGACAAAACAAAGGAGTATAAAACTGAATGGAACAACACAGAATATGACATGAAAGACAACTTAGTAGATGGAAACAAAACAAAACAAAACTAAATAAAATGATGAAAAATTAAACTTTATTAAGAAAAAGGATCAAAAGCCATTCTTCACCAAATGCTCTAAAAGACCAATCCTATTTATACCTTATCCTATTACACTGGACTTTTTAGAATGTTCTTAGGTGGTAGATTCTATCTAGATAACCACCAAACTTCTTTTTTAGAAGGTTCTATAGTGGATTCCATCTAAATAACTGCCTTAAACTCTTCTATAATGTTCCATGGTGCATCCTCCCTGGTTCATTAACTTAATCTCAATTCTAAAAACTTCTATGGTTCTAACTATCTATGTAATTATCTTTTCTATATCTGATATAGTTAATCCTCCTCTAATAATACAAAACGTCCTAATTTTGCTCCTCATGGTATCTCCAAATTGTCTCTTGGCAATGGGTGAGATTTTGTACAAGAATCACAGACATATTCATAATTACATATATAAATATATAAAGTAAGTAAAAATAGGTAAAAATAAGTTAATTCTAGAGTATTTGATATTGAAGCTTCTTAGAAGCTACATAGATGCTTTTCTGACTTCATAGGTGTCTTTAATTGACTTTTTGGATTAGAAACGTGGTCAACAAGTTGGCCATGTGCCACACATGTTGTTAGCTTGAAGACCAAACTCACTATATGGCCCACACGTAGAAAAACTTGCCTTGTAAGTCAAGGCATGTGTCCTACAAAGTCAACACATATTGGAGGTCCTATAGAACATCACCATGTAGCCCTTAATTAGATAGTATATATATAGATAAGAGTGAAGCCTTCTTTACTCTTGTCAACTCTTTTCTTGCTTTCAGTCTAGTTTCAAGGGTCTCTAATTTTCTTGTCTTTTGGCAATAGCCATTTTAATTTCTCTTTCAATATACATACTTGTTTATTTATATTTTGTTGCCTTTCTTTGAATGAAGGCTGACTTGTTTAAATTGCTTTTTCATCGAGTTCTTATCCTTGATAGATTGACAAGAGTATACCTACAATATCAAAGCTTTGTCTAAGCTTGATTAAGAGTGGATTATCCATTTTTTCTTGATAAGATATAAACATATTAGAAGTTGCGGATTACTATCTTCTGAACTGATATTGTCCTTAGTATTTTCTTAGTTCTCAAGTCTTCTCTTCTATTCGTCTTCAGCGATATTAGACATCTTGTCTTTTTTAAGTGTTATCATGGCAAAACTTGTTTAAATGAAGAGTGCAATGGCACAAATGCAAGAGCAATTGAGAGAGTTAATGCTTGCAATGCATCAACACAATTTACCACTACAAGGAGCAACAAGATTGGCAGGAAGTAAAGAAATAGAAATGGTTAGAGCAGCTTCAACATCTGCACCAAATCATGTCCTTTCTCATATAGCGGAACACCCTTCTACTATTAGAAAACTAAAAATTCCCTACTTGAGAAGTTTAATGACACCAGATCCAACTTTTGAGAATTTATCAAACAAATACAACTTGTAATTGAACTTCAACCCCAAAGCTATCCAACTCCAGGATCACAAATTAGATTCATTAGTTCACTTCTTTCAAGTTCAGCACTATCGTGGTTTTTATCTTTTCTTGAACGACGAGATCCAATATTACATAATCTAGAGATTTTTTTGGCAGAGTTTGGATCCATGTATGGAAAACATGATGCAATTCGTGTTGCAACTAATAAGATCCATATTTAACGACAAGACAATCGATTAGTAACGCTGTATGCTTTACAATTTTAACAACTTGCAACTGATACCAAAAAGGATGATGCAGCACTTATTAGCTAAATTTTCTATGGATTACAATATAAGGTAAAAAAATTAATGCTCAACTTACTTGATCCTCAAACATTGAGTCAATCAATTGGCTTTGATGTAAAGTGCGACAATTACCTTTTTGAATTTCGATCTAAGAACCGTACAAGTGGACCTCAACATTACTTTAATTCAATGGCAACACTAATATCTCTTCAATACATACATTCGGAAGTAGAGGATATGCAAATTGATGCAATACATTTCAAACCTCTTACTGAGCAAGAAAAGACTCGTCGTCATCAAGAAGGATTATGTTTATATTGTAGAGAACCAAAACACCTTGCTCAACAGTGTCCAAAGAAACGATGCAATGACAAAATGAGGAGTATGGCTCTGAAAGAAGACAATATGTCGGAAAACAAATTTGTCTAG